TACCATTTGTTAGAAATTGAGCCAACTGTTATAAATATTAAAGACGAGATATATGTAATATGAAAACAACAATCATAAGAACACAAGATTTACGTGAAAACCCAAAACGGGGAAATCACGGGCAAATGCAGAGAATTCATTATATAAAAATTAAGGAGTTACAAAAGTTCTTATATAATAGCTTTTCTTAAAGACGTGGAGGTGTGATCCGTGCTATTTTGTACTAAATAACCCACTCCCTAGCTTCTATAATTCTATTGCTACAAATTTCCAATTGTTTGGATATAAGTTGATTGTCTCGTGGCTATGAATTATAACAAATGTGATATTGCATTAAAAAATATATGTAACTTATGATAGTCGAATCCCTACGTCTCCATTTGGAAAATTTATAATAGATTTAAAAAGAGAAATAGTATTGGGTTCCACAAAATGCATGGATAAAATGAATAGTAGATATAAGCGTGCGGTAGAAAGTAATATTTAATTTTAACTGAACTCATACGTTATTTATAAATTTGTGTCCAAACGGAGGCTAACTTAAGACACATGCTTCGTTATAAAACATGGATGTTCTTCCAACATCAAACTTAAATAGATTAGATGTAACTTCACATTGTTGACAAGAACTTTTTACACAGCCCACAAAAGAGGGAAGGCATGTGGGCTCTCCTTTTTAGGGATTATTCTAAGGCCCAAGCCATATTGTAACCCACCTTTCCAAGTGGAAATGGCCTTCAAAGCAAAAGCCAAGCCCAAAGTCCATGAACCCTCATGACTCAAGTCCATTTCTTTCCAATTTCTTTGCTAGCTTCCAATCTCTTTAGTGGTTTAAAAACTATGGGTTGACAGATTGGATTGTTTGGACATTAGGGATCTTGTATAGTTGTATTTATTTTCAACTTATCTCAAATTGTTGGGTATTTATTCCATGTGACATGGAATTATTGGATACTTACATTTGAATGATATGGAATTATCAAGTATTTGTATCTAGTTAATCATATATTACAAAGTATTGCGTCGAAGAGATTTGATTACAAGGCATTTGTGTCGAGGTGATGTAGAATTGCTGCTTTTCGTCTTTTCTTCTCTAGCCATTGTTGGCTAACTGGCAGCACGGTAAAGTTATGTCTCATCGTTGATATTTAAGTTGGTTTATGTTTTTTTTTTTTTTTGTTGACTCTCAATGTTTATCACTCTTACATATCGAAAATAGAATTGATGTGTGGATATATTTAAGCAAGTGGTCCCTAATCTTTGGCGTCTTTAGAAAAATAATCCCTAACTTCTAGTTTCGTTTACATATTTCCGTCAATATCAGCTTAATTAGTTTACATTACATGTTTTAGCTCACTCTTTGTGCCTTGTTGAGCATAAAGCTGTGACATGAAGAATTTTCACTTGGTATACATGAATGTGCAAAGTTTAGAGAGAGAGGAAAAAGGAATTTTCAAAGGATCACATTCATTTAAAATCAAACCACCAAATACGTGAAATGTTTATTAATACTGCTAATTAAAATCAAAATACAATTTTAGCTGGGAGCTAAAGATCCAAAAGATGCAGTGCTATCATATTGACTTTGTTTGTTTCCCTTCTTTCTTCAAAAATAACCCTCCCATTAATGATACTAATGGCTTCTTCTTTGGTTTCTTTTTTGGTGAAGGCTTTTGCTCTACGTCTTTACCTCCATCATCGCTTACAATAACTCGAGTTAACAATGGAGGACTTGCAAACTTAACAGATCTCTTCCTCTCAAATTGCAAGCCATTTTCTTCTTCAGTTGGCTTCTTGATTTCAGCTGTGTTTTCGATAAACTTTAGCTCTTCAATTTCTGGTTCAAACGATTGGCTGTCGTTCTTGATGTGGGATTCTTTGGATTTCAATTGTTGTAGCTCCATTTTAGTCTGTTCAAGCTCTTGTCTCAGAGAGTTGAGGCACTGAACCATCAGATTATTGCTTTCTTCTTTTTCTTTTTCTTTTTCAACACTTTGCTGCTTTGTCTGTTCATCATGATGATCACCCCCAATTCTTGATGTGTATTTTCCAGTGTTCTTTTTTATTTCCATCTGAAATAAAATGTGTAATTCAGTGTTAATTAGTACTGATTAAATCAAGTGTTGAACATCAACTTCTTAACATTTTGTCATGTATGTATCCACAAGCAATTGACATTCTTGGATTTGAAAGGTTGTTCGAATTTCTTATGATAAGCAACTGAAACTAGTTCATGCTAATGGTAAGATATTTTTAAAAGTTGGGATTATTGTTCTTATTTTAGTGGAGGAATTTGAAATAGTTTCTATAAATCTTATTTCTCGAGACGAAAGAAAAGATATGCAGTTTGTCTTTTCAAATCTACCGTCCCAATAAAAAAAAAGCATTCTTGTGATAGAGCACATGCCTCGTAAAAAATGTAGTGAAATCACATTTCACATTATTTGTATGCTTTGAAAAGTTTCAGAAAAACCCATAAAAGGGAGTCATCATAAGTAATTTACACTACAAACTTAAGATTGTAGTATATATATGTTCAAGTGCTTTTTTAATAAAATTTTAACTGGCCAAACTTCATTTTTAACCCCACATGTGATGAGATCTACAACTTTTCCATCAACGTATATCATGAGTTGCTAAAACTTTTGTCAAAATTTTATCAAACAACCCCAAAGGAGTTTATAACAATCTTAATGTATGCTATATCATGCATGCATGCACCATCACAATCCTGTTAGTAAATACCACAAAGTTTGTTTAAGAAAAAACCCACCTGCAAAATGACCAAGAACACACACACACACACACACACATTCATATTATCATATATATATATAGAGAGAGAGAGAGAGAGAGAGACCTCTTTGAGTTTATTTGCATAAACTTCTCCTGCAAGAACCTTTTCCCCAAAAATTGAAATTGCTTCTTTCACTGATCGGAAAGGCTGTCGCATATCGATCTCCACTCTCCCCCGCACCACCAACCCACCTTCTCCTTCTCCTCCTCCTCCGCCTATGTCCATTTTTCCCCTTATATACACTCAATTGGAGAAACTAAAATTAGTTCATTAACCTGTGGGAAAATACCTCGTACAAGAATATGAATTCATCGAAGGTGTCACAAAGATACACACACACAAACATTCATTACTACTTATCTATATATGCAAGGACATGAATATAGCAGATGTTTGTTTGTTAAATTAATGGTAGGGTGGGAGGTGTTGGTTAGTTGAAATAAATTAATTGAATTTGGAAAAGTTAATAAAAAAATAATGGGTGTTTTCTTCGCGTCCAATTCACTAGACAAATGCTGTTAGCCCAAGTGGTTGCACCATCAATTTTATCAAAATCCGATATCTTCTGTAGAAATATATGCTAAATACGTATGTACTACATTATACTAAATCAACTTCATTTCAGAAAGGGAACTACCAATTACACCAGAAGTGGACCCTTTTGATATGAACCTGGCTCCTCTCTTGTGGACCCCAATTTGTTATGCCCTTCTCTTTCATTATTTTCATCAACTGTTAGGTTAATTACATATAAAAATGAAATATGGAGGATTATTTTAAGTATTTTGATCTTGAGTAATTGTCCAAAAGCCTTATCGTATCTTGAAATGTAATATATAGCCCCTGTTTTGTATTGATTAAAATCAAATTTTAATCTCAATCAAAGTCAAACAATCAATATTAACACATATTTCATTCTTCCCAATATTTTTCAACCACACATTCCATTAACTTTTATCAAAATCTACTAAAAATCTAATTTTAATCACCATCAAACAACCTCATAGTAAACGACTTGACCATTGGAAATGACATTAGTTGAGAGCATCTATATAAAAAAATTATATGCTTATGCTCCCGTTTGAGCCACATTCTTATTCTTCTAATCGTTTTCAACCACACATTCTTTAATAAAATAATATTTTTCATCACATCAATAACTTTTCCTTCTTTTTCAACCACATATTCAGCATTACATCACAAAAAAATGCATTCTTTTCTAAAAAATGTGTACCAAACACACTCTCTAAGTTATTGTATTGTACTTTAGTTGCATGTTGGACACAACATGTTTGTGTTACCTTGTATGAACCAAATTAAAATAATAAATACAAAAAACTTAGAAGAAGGGAAGTATATAAAAATATTACAAATAGAATGAAGTGAGGAATGCATACTTGGATAGTGATTGCTTAGATAAGTCAATTCCTAATCAGTTGAAGTAGTATATTGATTTCAATAAAAGTCACGTTTTTATCCAGTACAAAATGAACCCAAACTTTTTAAACTTCAAAATAAGCCACATATTATTGAAAATTAGAAACTTTAATTATTATCAAGAGCGATATTCAATAATATCGTAGCAAAAAATAAACATACAAGAACACACAAGATTTACAGAGATTCGTCTTAATATGAGACTACATCCTCGTTCACTATAATGAAAACAAGTTTCAAACGAAAATTCGACACACTTTATTTTCTCTCATATCTCTTTTTAATGATATTCAAAACTCTAATGACAACTCCCTATTTATAAGACAAATAAGATCGATCATCCCCCGCCTACCAACTCCACAACTTAACACATTATGAGGGTGTTTGGTGGGGATTAAAATTAGATTTTTAGTAGATTGTGATAAAAAAAATTTGAAATGTGTTGTTGAAAAGTTGTGGGACCCATGAAATATGTGGTTAATATTGATTGTTTGACTTGGACTTCAATTAAAGATTTTAATCCGGACAAAACAGGGGATATGTAAAAAAATAGTTTCAGAGTATATTAAGAAAAGTACACGTTAATCATTTCTTTTAATGTTCTGTTTCCCTGTCAACAGCCTTGATACAATGGGAATATAAAGCAGTAATTAAAAATCTATGAACTATGAACAAGAAATAATTAATAAATACATCATTTAAAAATCTATGTATATGTTATTTGTGGACATTTTATAAATTAAAAGGAAAGAAGTAATTACGTAATCGTAACGTAACGTAACAATTATAATTGCAAAAAATAAAAGAAAAGAAAAATGGCAATGTTGACATGTGATTGTCCAAACGTTTATCAACACAAGCTGTTTTTATCTTGCAAAGGGTTCATCTTCAAGGCAACACAATCCTTTTTTTAGATTCCCTTCCTAACCAAGCTTATTGCTAAAAGCAGATAAAGTTTTATTCGTAGTAACTATACTTTCATTCTATTTTAATTAGGTAATTATACTTTAAGTTTGTTCGATCGGGTAACTATAATTTAATTTGAATTTAATCAGGTAACTTCG